CAGTGTAGATGTGCCCTTAGTCCATTCTATCCTAGGCACAGCAGTAATACAAATAGTTGTGCTACCTGCCTTCACAGTAGGGAAGAGCTAAGCAAAAACTATTGGTCACTGCAGCAAAAATGCAAAACTAGTCAAAACTGACACCAAACACCTGTTGATGGGGTATTCCTGCCTCTAGCCTTTCTTCAAAGAATGTCTCTTTCTAAAATGACAGCCCTTGCCACTGCCTTTGAAGGCTGAGGCCAATCACACTTGGCTGCTATTTCCCAGTCCGGCTGGCAGTGCAAGGAATCAGACTCCTGCCATCTGAGTACAGCAGAAGCAACACAATAGTTGCTTTTCATTAATACAAGAAAAAATCTCTTGTGCTTATGCCTTTATTCCCTGTTTGTTGAAATGCATCCAGCAATTCTGTGCTCCTGAGCTTGGTTACAAGCAGTGTTTCAGCTTTGTTCTATATTTAGATCCATCTTTATCAGATTCTTTTTTTGATACTGTAAGTGAAATAGAAGAAATGCTGTTAATTCCCAGGCTTTATGCTTGCTTTTACTTTGCACCTAATTTCATTTTTACATTCCTCTTGAGAGAAACTGGCATCATCAGTGCTGGTGCTTCCAGCACTGACAAATCACTGGAATCAAACAGCACAAGTGCTAGATGAATATGCCATCAGAGCTAACAGTAGTACATTTTTAAATCTTGCAGAATGATGATATTGCTTTTGAAGTTAGTGCTGGGAGGCCCTGGCACTTGGGACTGTGGGAATAATTGAGGTCGAGCAAGAGTGGCAACAAGCAAACTCCTGGTAGGGCAGTATATCTGTCTGTGTGAGTTTCCTCTCATCCTTGATGAAAGAATGTGGTTAGTCTCTCCTCTTCTCTTCCCCCTTTCTTTCTAAAATGGAAACGACCAATTCAGGGACTTTCAGAAATACCTTTTTCTCTTGCTCCTTTTTTTTTTTTAGTCCATTTGGGCAGTCATTCATCTGTAGGGTGGACAGCAGCAAATTTCAGCAGTAGGAATGCTGGGACCTCCTCCAGTACCAATCTGCCTCTAGGGTTGCTGTACTTCAGTTAAAGTAAATTGGACAGAGCTCTGCCTCCCCTCATTTCCCCTGCTTCTTGGATCTATGTTTGGTTCTAGAGAAATAAAATTATCTTGTAGGTCCAATTGTAATTCCGCTGTTATGTCAAGAACAAATGTCTTATTTTTTTTCTCCCCCAAGACAAGTGTTTATTTTACATATTGACATTTTTCATGAGTGTAACATGGTGCAAGCCTTCAGGCAGCCTGGTAAGACATGAACCAGTCCTCAATTCTGTCAGCTTGCAAATTTCTTCCCTTACCTCCCTAATTCCCTCAATTTCCTGGGGAAGTGAAATGTCAAAATGTCATTAGTTTCTTATTTGTGTTAATGGGGAAAAATAATCATGGCAAAGAGTAGGTGAGCAGTGTGACACTGTGGGATGTTCCTGTCACTTAGCAGAGGGGCACCCTGCAAAGCAGCTGGCAGGTGAAGAAGGGAGCTGATGAGGCAAGGGCCGGGATATAAGCCCTTGGTTTGGTCAAGCAGGCCAATCCCTGGAGCCACAAGGAGTGAAGCTGCTGACTCTAGGCTTGAAGCAGGGCTCCAGCCAGTGGGAGGGAGAAACCTGGGGAAGGGCTGAGGGCGATCATGTAAATAACAAGAGCGTTAGCACTTAAGGCAAGAACCACAGGCACCTGGTGGTGGTTGGAGAGAGCAGCTTGGGAACCAGCCTCCTTTATGTCTGGCAACTGTTGATCCTTCCAGATCATGGTGTATGTATGAGAGGTCACCCAGACCTTCAATACATATGCCTAAGCAGGAGTTCTTGGAGGGGTGGAGGCTGCCCAGATCTTCCACTCCCCCTTTACGCCACTGAGATGGAATCAAAGGGCCAGGCTGAATCCAGACATTTGATGCCTTCTTGGCTGTATATAAGGATCCAAGAATTGAACCCAGGCCTCTTGTGTGGCAAACAGGGATTCTGCCACTGAACCACAGGAGACTCCAGTCTCCCCCCTATATAAAACATAACATCAAGGTGTGGCAAGAAAGACTGAAGGGGTGATTGCCCAAAGAGAGTGAGGACTGAAGAGACTTCAAGGGCTTCACAGCCACCCCTGGAGAGGGTAATCCCTTACAGGAGATAGCAAGTTTACAGCAACTTTGCAAGGCTAATGTACTCTCTTGTCAACTTTCTTGGCTATTTAGCTCTGCATATTCACATAATGTTCCACAAGTCAGTTTATATACGAGTAAATCGCCTAAGCCCAGAAATTATTTTAACATGGATTAAAATACAGAAGCTGAAGTTGCACAACTACTGCATAAAAATACAGCATGTTTTCAAGGCATGTTGAAGTTCAGGGAACATGAAAAAATCAGTACAGAAAGAAACAACAGTATCTTTATTGGTTTTCCCCTTAGCTAGCTGCATGCTATGTTCAAACAATTCCCATGATGGAATGAGGCCTTGTCAGAAAAGAGATAAATGGAGGATTTTTCAGACGTTTTCAGAGCTTAATTTCTACAAGAAATGTTTGCTTCATGATGTACTACATCCTTTCAATAAGAGGAAGAGTATATATTTTTTCTTAACTGCTGCTATTCTGCAAATGTAGATATATTCACTACAGAGTTTAAACCATTTTGCTTCTATTTTTGGGTTCTCCGTACACCTACAGTATTCAGGGGGAGACTCCAAATAATATTAAATACACTATGTGGGAATATTTAAAATACATGACCAGTACACAATGGTCTTGCAGAGAAAGAAAAATGTTTAATATTCTTGAGGCCTGAGCATCTCCAGCTCCTTTTTCTCAAGCAGGATAAGTGAGTGTTTCAGAAAAATTAAAATCCCAGTCAGTTAAATGGGATGAATGCCTGAATAGAAGTTATGGTCCTCAGTCAGGGGACAGCAAATAGTCAGGGTCACATGGGTGACCAGTCAGTCTCTGAATACTTGAATGAGAGTGAATGTTAAACACTTTCAGTGAATAGCAAGCTTTCTGTAGCCTGAAATATTTGCACAAAAAAATAAGTAAACATTTGCGGAAATTCTGATCTATTTGTAGCAACTCCACACGGAAAAAGGAGAGTTTAAACAGTTTAACTTGCTATAAATAGGTGGCCTAGCTACAGCTTGGTCCTGATGATCGTAAGTCCCTTTTACGCTGACTGAGGGCAGTAGTGTACTTAAAAATAGAAATGTCCTTGTAGCACAGAACTTGGTACCCTGGTAGCATCTGAAAAAGATGTTGCACTTAGCAAATGGAAGTATTTTTATCCCTTTTTATCTTCTTTAATGAAGATGAAATTAGGAATGTAGATATCTGACTTCTCCTTGTTTTCCCTTACTCTTTTTCAAGATTCAGAATATGTCCTTTAGTAAACAGAAAAAATATTTCATATGTTTAAGTGTCAGCATCTATTTACTAAGGACAAAAATCAGGAGTTTTAAGGATGGCAATTACCCCACTCACTCTTCCTTTTCCATAAACTTGAAGGATCTGAACTAGTGAGGAGTTAACACAGTCTCTCTTGGAATACTGTTTGTGATGCCCTAGCACTGAAGGATTTCTGTCCCCTTGAAACTACAGATTGTTTCTGCTACACATTCCTGTTTTTTCCCACTTTGTTAGTTCTGAAAAAGCCTGTTACTGAACCTGTATACTCAACCTGTATACCTTCACCTGAATTTCCAGACTAATTTTCCTAAAAGTGGACTTCCCTTTTTATAACCCCCAGTTATTTCTTATGCTATACTCATGTTCAATAGGGTAAATTATCTATATGGCCTCATCAGCCACGAAATACAAGCAGAGAGCAGGACCAGAATTGTAGTGTCTTACATTTCTGTCCATTCACACTGGTAATATTCATGAAAGCACCAGGGAAAATCAAAGACAATGTGTGCGACTGACCCTGGTTTTCCTGGGCAGTGGGATAATACCTGTGATCTTGCTAACAAAGTCAGTGCTTTTAATGCGAGAAATGTATCAGCTGTGCTGAATCACATAGATGAGCCAAGACTAATGAAATCATGGTTTCCAGTCACCAGCCATGAACTATCACCCCATGTCCAATTTCGTACTTTCTAAGCAAGGTAACTGAGAAGCTAGAACCCCCCTCCCTAACCCCCCACCTTTGATATCAATCTTGCCTCCTATAACTAGGATCTTCTTTTTCAAAGTTTCAGGGTATGGTAAAGAGAGCACTTTCCTCTCTCCACCCCTCACCAGCATAACATCTATACTACCTGCAAGCTCCCGCTAAGTCATATTTTGACACAGTTGAGGACAAAACGCTTTCTTCTGCCTCTGAGAGAGACCACTTCTTATATCAGAGGTGTTTACAGAGCAGCATTGACCAGTGAGGATGGAATTGTGGGAGAGGACTGGCTGGATTGTGGAAGTTAGTCCTGTAAGCATTAAGAATGACTTCAGAACTAAAATGTAAATCTCCTTTTCTCCAGTTTAGTTCTTCCTCCAGTTTAGTTCTTACGCATATGTGTAACCAACCCAGTAGTCTAAGAATGACCTATTTTCAAACATCTGAGTGAGGGAGATGACATGTCAAGGTAAACAAGTGACTCTTTCTTTTTTCCTTGGTTTTGCCTCCTTCCCCACACAAAGATTATGTACTTTGTACTCTACTTCTGCCTGTTGTCCTTGTGCAATGAGAGGTGTATGGATATATTTAGAAAACTTTTAATTGGTTCACCATAAGAACTTCAAGATAATGTGGGTTATTTCTTAAAATGGAATATCCTTCCCTCAGCCGTTCCCTCCGTCTGCCTGTTTCTGGCAAAGCTGAGAAATACCAGGTATTTCAAAATTATATTGTTTGTATTTTACAAAAACATTTGTCCTGTTTATAGTGTAACTAGACTTCAGTATGTAATACTGTACAATAAGAGAACAAAATAAATGACTTGTATTTTCATTTCTACTCCTCTGGTTTCTTCATGCAGTGCACTTATGTAGAGATTGATCAGGTGCCGAAGACCCATGCTATTGTGTTAAGTAGACCTGCATGGCTTTGGGGAGCAGAAATGGGAGCAAATGAATATGGAGTCTGCATTGCCAATGAAGCCATCATAACCAAAGAGCCAGCTTCTGAAATTGAAGCCCTGCTGGGAATGGATCTTGTCAGGTGAGTGGTTAAAGGCTGGACAATGAATCAACCTACTTAAGCCTGGAAGAGGACTTATATTACCAATAATGATGGAAAATATCAATGAAGGAGACATAATGCTGAATTTAAAAACTATAGGTGCTGTGTGTACAGGGCCTAAAATACTATCAGTTCAATGTATTGCAGCATGCTAGTTTGAAACATTGCAAGTATTTGATTCTCTGAGCCAGCTTGTGGTCATTAAATCTGATAGGGACTACCTACTATAGAGACCAGCAGTACTATATTGGCAGTGTAAAGAAAGCTATAATACAGTCCACCAAGTGTAAGGAAGGAAGTGATTAACTTGCAGTTTATATATTGCCTATATTCTTTTATTTCTTTAAAGTATTCCACTCTGATCTAGAAAGCTTATTTCTGCATTTGCATAAAAGCCCTGAAATAAATAAGTTACTGCAGCCCATTCATTCCAGTGTAAGCCATTTGTCCTTCTTCTGAATGCTGGCAAACAGACCCCTGAAAGTTAATTCAGTCCAGGCTGGCTTCCTGAAAGGCTTGATCTACAGCATAAATCTAAAGCTGCACATTGAACTTGCAGTGAAGAGAATCTTAATTCCAGAAAGTTGGAGGCTATGAGGAGATGTCATGAATGAGTCTATAGAAATGTTCCAGTTGAAGCAGCAATCTCCTACTGAGATGATGGTCATGGTAAAAACCACTGTTACTGAGCAATGTGTTGGGTTTTTTTTCTAATGAAGTGTTCCCTGGTGGCAGTAGTCAACAGGATTTTTGATAAGTATAGATTTAAAAAAAATGTCAATTCAGAAAGGTGGAGCTGTAAAAGGAGGTACAGCTAGGAAAGGAAAGGACGTAAGGCAACAAGAGCATTTGTAAATGCATTATAAGAGGATGGGTATAGGCAGAACAAAATACAGGTTAAGGGGATAGGGCTTTACTATGCATCAGCTCTGCCACAGCAACCATCTTTGTCTTCTCTTACTGCTGGTAAATGAAAATTTAACCCTGTTTCACATGGGGATAAGCTATACTGGTTTAGGTCTCTTATTGCATAGGGAGAGTGGGCATATGAACATTTGTCTGTGCATCAGCTGTCCTATATCAAATCTTTGATCCTTTTATCTTGTGATTTGTTTGATTGCTGTTACCTCAAGAAATAAGAAAGCACAGATTTGTTAATTAAATAGGGGAAGAGAACAAATAAGACACTGTAGCAGAGAAGGTTGAAGTATTGGTGCTGCCTTTAATTTCGGTTGCAAAAAGGAAAAAAAAGATACAAGCGAGCAAAAAATGCTGTTAACTTCTTCAACAAGTAAATGGAAATATAAGCCAGGATGGGCAAAAACAAGTTAAAGAATAATTAGATGTTTTTGAGTTGTCAGGTCTTGACTTTAGAGTGCTACAGAGATTCCTTTGGCTAATTTCCTAAGCATTAGCAGCTTATTTCTGTGAACTCATGGAGGTTAGATGAGGTCCCCAAGGACTGAAGAGGGCCAGACATAAAGGTCTTTTAGGGAACTGGAGGATTTATCACCCAGATGGTCAAACTTACAAATGTGGAAAGATGCAAAAACAAACTATTAAGTATTTGATTTGAGTATCTGTTGGAAAAGGTGATAAGTGGACAGTGTGTACCTGTCAAGAAAAACCCCTGTCATATAAATGAAATTTACTACCTTAAGATAATTGCCCCAGCAGAAAAAAGGGAGATGGCAGATGTCTTGCTTAAAGTTTTTGATGCCATTGCATATGACCTTCTTGGAAACAAAATAAGGAAATGTGTAGAGGAAATCACAATAGAGTTTCAACTGCTGGCTGAAGAAATGGGACTATGAAGAGTTTACACTAGGTTTCTCTCAAAGTGGGAGTACATTTTCAGCTGGTTTCTGACAGGCGACTTCTGGGTTCAGCTCTATTCAGTATTTTTTCTAGGAATAGAGAATATATGTGCAAAATTTGCAGATGGTGGCAAGCTGAGACAAACTGCATGTGCTTTGGAAGACAAGATGAGAAATCAAGATCTCTATAGAGAAATAGTCCAAACTCAACAATGTGAAACTCAGTAAAAACAGAAGGGAGAAATCAATCCCCAAATACAAATGGAAGGTGTGGAGGACTGGCTGGGTAACAGTATCATAGTAAAGGATTTGGGAGGTTATGGTGTATTAAACTGGTTCAGTAATGCAATTCAGTTGTGAAAAGGAAGACTTCCCTTCTGGGATGCATTAACAAAAATTTACCATGTAAAATAAAGGTACTTTTCCCCCATTGTTTTCAACCCTGGTGAGGTCTGTCTGGTATTTGTGCTGCCCCTAACTGGAAATAATTAAGGTAAGATGCATTTTATTTGATGTATGTGCCATCATCTCTACAAGTGGCTCAGGGAGGCTTACAATAAATACAAGATAAGCTATAAAAGCTGATAAAATATTAGAATAAAATACTAAAGCTCCCTAAACAATGTCCCAAACAGTTCTCCAGAACTAAATCCCCTGTACTAAATGTATGCCTAAATGGAAAGGTTTTACATCACTTCTGAAAGATGCCCAGATTTACGTTCTAGGGTTTCTCAAGGGAGACTGTTTCAGAGCTGAGGAGCAACTACTACCTATCTTAGGGGTAGGCAATGTGTTTTAGTCGGAGTGTCAAAAATCCCGACAATGCCTACCTTGGAAGGTGCCAGAGTGCCGGCAAGCCAGAAAAACAAAATGAGGGCAAGGGGTACATGACAGGATGCCCTGCTTCTGGCCCTTGCCGCTGCCTGGGCTCTGTGGCTGTCAGCAGCTACCCAGAACCTGGGTCAGCTGCAAACATCTGCTACCTCTCTGCCCCAGGCCCAGCCCTGGGCTCCGGGGAGGCAGCACATACTGACAATGCTCCCTGCTGTGGTGCCCTCGCTGCTTCTGCAAAGCAGTGTTGCAACTCAGTGTGGCAGGACACAGTGGGGGACACAGAAGGCTGCCTGCTGCTCTGAGTTCCCCGCTGCCCTGCCACACTTCCCCTGCAGGAGGGGGCAGCAGCGAGGGGCACAACTCTGCGCTGCTGCCCATGCTGCTCCTGTGCACACAGGGGAAGTGTGACAGGGCAGCAGGGAGCTTGGAGCAGGCAGCTTTCTGCACCCCCCGCTGTGCCATGCCATGCTGGGTTCCAACGCCGCTTTGCAAAAGCGGCGAGGGGAGCATTGCCGATATGTGCTGCCTCCCCAGAGCCCGGGGCCGGGGTGGAGAAGCAGCAGATGTTTGCAGCTGGCCCAGGTTCTGGGTAGCTGCTGATAGCCACGGTGCTTGGGTTGCTTGCAGCAGGGCTTCCATGGGAGCAGCCTGGGCTCCATGGCTATCAGCACCTACAGCCAGGAGGCTACAAACAACTGCTGGCCCTGGGTTCCAGGAAGGCTGCAGGTGCCAGAACTGCACCCGTTGGGCTGGGGCCAGGGCCGGGGAGGCAGCAGCTGTTTGCAGCCTCTTGGCTGAAGCCGGCCCTGGCTCTGGGTAGCTGCTGATAGCCACGGAGCCCAGGCTGCTGCCAGGAGAGCCTGCGGCATCTCAGCTGCCTGCTGGGAGCAGCCTGGGCTCCTGGCTGGCAGCAGCTACCCAGAGCTGGGGCTGGCTGCAGCCGGGAAGCTACGAACAGTTGCACCGGGCTCCGGAGCTCAGGCATCAGCTCTGTACCAGTGTGTGCGCACATGCCTTGGAGCAGGCGGTGGGGGAGGGGCCTGAGGCAGCACAACCCCGGCCTCTCTCCCGCTCCTGGTACAGAGCTGGTAACTGGGCTCCGGAGCCTGGTGCAGCTGTTTGTAGCCAGCCTGGGCAGCTGCAGCAAGTAGCGGGCAAGCTACAAACAGCTGCGCCGGGCTCCACAGCTCTGGCATCAGCTCCATGCTGGCGGCAACTGCACACACACCTTGGGGCAGGCTGCCCTGCCCTGTTGTCTTCCCCAAGGTGCGCACACAGTTGCTGCCGGCATGGAGCTGATGCCGGAGCTGTGGAGCTTGGCACAGCTGTTTGCAGCCTGCCTGCTACTTTCTGCAGCTGCCCAGAGCTGGGGCTGGCTACAAGCAGCTGTGCCAGGCTATGGAGCACAGTCATCAGCTCTGTGCCAGGACTGGGGAAGAGATCAGGGTTGTGCTGCCTCAGGCCCGTCCCCCACCACCTGCTCTGAGGCACGTGTGCATGTGCCGGTGCAGAGCTGATGCCTGGTCTCCGGAGCCTGGTGCAGCTGGCTGCAGCCAGCCCCAGCTCTGGGTAGCTGCTGCCAATCATGGAGCCTGAGCTGCTTGCAGCAGAACTCGCAGCCTCCCAGCTGCCTGCTGGGAGCAGCTTGGGCTCCGTCGCTGGCAGCAGCTACCCAGAGCCAGGGCTGGCGGTGGCATGCCAGGGGTTGCAGACCCCGGACCTATCTCCATCGGAGGGTGGGCCACTCAAGTTTTTTCAGACTGACTTCAGTTGGAGATATAGGTAGTTGGCAGCTCTGAAATTCAAATCCTTTTGTCAAATTATGTACCCAACCTAGGAAGAATTTCCAGAAACGTGGATCTCAACCTCTGCTTCAATTTCTGTCCCTAAAGGAATGTGTAAAGTTAGAAGATAGCTAGCAGGGTTGTATGGTTTATTTGATTTGCTTCTTGCAGTGCACAGTGACACTCTAGAAGATTGCTCAACTTTTGGCCTGACAGGCAAAATGTGTGGCACAGGGCTGGACTGCAGGTTGGATCAGACCCCGAATGCTAGGATCAGGCCCACACACCTGCATCAGGCCTCAAGCTGCCCTGTATATCTGATGTTAGTGCCCAGGACCATGGCCTGCAGTGGTTTGCTACTGGAGCAGTCCTGTGGGCTGGATAACATGGCACCAGGGGCTGGATTTAGCCCACAGGCTGGGGGCTGAACATCCCTGCTCTAGAACAGCATTACTCAACCTTTTAGGGCAGGGGTAGGCAAAATAGTTAATCTGGCCAGAAACCAGACTTCATTTCTCAGCAACCCCTGCCTGTGCTGCTGCAGCTGATTTTCACAGAGGCCCCAGTATCAATGGTGTCGTGACAGCATGGGGCCATAATTTCCATGGAGACCAATCCCAGCAGCACTGGCAGGGCACAGCTGGGCAAGAAGTGGTTCTGGGGTTGGGATTGGGATCTTGCAGTGATGGCTGGATGATCTGGGGCAGAGCCATGACTCGCTATCTGAATGCCCCTGCTCAAGCTGTGTGGGTACTGGGCAGCAGATTGCAGCTCTGCCCCAGCTTTGGACCACACTGTTACTGCCACAAGATCCCAGCCCTGGAGTAGCTCCCTACCATGCTGCGTGCTTTGCCAGTGCTGCTGGGGCCAGTTTCCATGGAAACCTTGGCCCCATGCTTTCACAGTGCTGCTGCTATTGGGGTCTCCATAGAAGGTGGACACAGTGATATGGGCAGGGGCTGCTGGGAAATGGAGTTCACTGTGGGGTCGATCCAGCCTGCAGGCTGGACTTTGCTGACCCCTGTTTTAGAGTGTTGAGCTGGGTGCTTGTGACCCAGTTGCACTGAGGGCCACCATTCCCCTCCTAGTAGGAGAGGAGAAGATGGGGAGGGAAAGGAGGAGGGCTTACTTCATCCCTAAAGCAGGGCTGTTTACCAGGGGGAGAGTAGATGGTGCCTGCTTGGGGCGGGGGAGAAGAGTAAGCAGCACCAGCTGTAGATGGGGAGAGCTGGGAGGGCTGCAAAAGGGAAAGGGGGGTGCCAGGCTAATCTCCCATACCACAGACCAGATCCAGGCACTGCTGCTTCAGAAAGTGAGGCTCTATTTTTCATTAACAGTGAGGGTTTTATAGCCTGGCAAATGAATATTATTTAAGGGAATGTATGGTTAAAGTATAAAATAACCCATGCTTATGTATAATTTTTTTCTAAATAGTATGCCTTGGCTAATCCCAAAGATCATTTGAAAGATTAAATAGAAACCTCTTGTGATGTTTAGGTAGCAATTGGATGAATGAGTAACTGTTAAGAAAAACTAATTAGGATTTTAATTTTGAATACAATTCTTGATGCATCAGATCAATATGCTGATTAACATACATTATACTATTTTAATTTTATTTTGAAAGTGAATATTTAATCATTTTACTTATGATGCAAGCTTGCAAATCCTACTATCTACTTTTAAGGTAGTCAAATTCAACTTCAGCAAGTTCCTTGCTTACTGTTTCCAGAAGAACTTTTTAGGAGTTTAACATGGTAAAGTAAGCATTGGCACGCTCCTCAACAAATGCATCTGCCTACAGAACAGAATACTTAATGAATAGTAATGTGAAAGGAAAGTGTGGTGGCCAATAAGTATTGTAGTGTGGCAAGAGAAGGGCTATGAAAGACAAGTAACTTTGCTTTCTTATCCTGTCTCTGTGATAGCCACAACAGTGGCAGTATATACACTTAAAACCTAAGAACAACCTTGAGAAGAAAAGACAATTTTTCACATTTACTTTGCCAGAGGAAGATGAATAGAAGTCTGCAGTTTTGGTGCGTGTTAGGGGGTGCTTGTTTGTTTTTTTGTTTGTTTTTGTTTTTGTTTTTTGTTTTTTTTGTGTGGTTTTTTTCCAAGTGTAGTTTCTGCTATGCTCTGAACTAGTGAAACTAACTCGGTAGTTTGGAAATCAGCTGAGACCAGCATGAAAACCTGACAGAAGTCAAACAACATTAGAAGCACTGGCTCAGATATTAAGGTTAATAAAACCCATAAAGCAAATATTTCTGTGGTCTGATTTGACACTTCCAGTATTGCTCCTGTGCGAGCATTTTCTAGCTTTAGTTAAAATAAATAAATAAAAATCTCTGCTCATTGAATCAGTACACACAAGCCTCTTATTGTTTCTGTAATTCTAGTAGATCTTTCTTTGTTTGTTTTAGGCTTGGTCTAGAAAGAGGAGCAACAGCTAAAGAAGCTTTAGATGTAATAGTTTCATTGTTGAGAGAGTATGGACAAGGTGGAAATTACTATGAAGATGGGAGCTTATGCCATGCTTTCCAGAGTGCATTTCTGATTGTGGACAGAAAAGAAGCCTGGATACTAGAGACTGTTGGAAAATATTGGGCAGCAGAAAAAATCACAGGTTAGTTTTAACTGGCAGGAAACCTGCTTTGCAACAAAGAATTTGCCAGGGTGGACTCACCCTCTCTCTCTCTCTCTCTCTCTCATGATTTAAATGGCTTATTTTAATTAAAAAACTTTCAATGAAATAATCGGTTTTAATCTTGTTTTTCCCTTTTGTACTATTTTGTTAGTTCCTAAAGAGAGGTGGATTCTTATTAGTTAGTACAAGATGGTACTTTTGCTAACAGTAAGCAATTATACAGCTAAACATTCAGCACTTCCTAAAACAACAATCTAAATGAAACTTCTTTTTAGATTTTAAATGTTTTACTTGTGAATTTATTTGACCTTCACTTGATGTGTGTATTTGAATTCATATTCACAGGCAGCTCTAAAGTGGTTTTAGTTTAAATTAATTTTAAGAGTATTGGATAAACAAATGATCAAAAATATTATACTTTGAACTGTTTTTAGGTGAGTTTTTCATCTGCAGTTATTTAAACTGATTTGTTTCTTGTCACTGTGACATTTGCGTGTCACTTGATCCTCTTCCCATCTAGTAATAACAAGCTTTCTTGCTTTTACAACTCCCGATCAGGTTGTCAGCTTAGAACTAGCCATATAAATGGAAGGCGAGCATTCTCTCTGTATTCTACCACTGTTGAAAGCTGGGTTAGCACCAGCTTAGCCAGTTGCTTCCACCTGTGCAGTGGCTTCTTTCTTTAGAACTTCACTAGCAGACATGCACTGCTTGATTATTTGTATTATTCAAATGATGTATCAAATTAAATTTAGGCCTTAACATCTTACATTTTGAATAGGTTTAAAGTGCTGACAAGTGAATTTAGTTAGGGCTTTTTGGAGGGGAGGGGAGTTAATGGGTTTTTTTTTTCTTTTATTTTCCTCACCCCTGCCTGACGTTATGTAACACCACGTTCAGTTTTCTTCCCTCCTGTCTTCTTTCATTTGAACTAAAATTAAGAGGGAATCATAAAAGGGTCTGACTTGCTCAAATCAGTCAAACAATGAAACTCTGTATGATGTTTGTACCAGCATCATTATTCCAGTCCATTAAATATTTTTATGCAGACCAGGATTGCTTTTTCCCCCCTTCGCAGTTATGCTCTTTCTCTCTGCAAAGTTTGAAAGCTTCCTAATTGCTGATAAGGTGAAATGTAAGTTTTTCTAGTTACAACTAGATGTTAACGGTGGTGAAAGGGAGACTGTTGGGTAGTAGTGCCCTAATGAGAAGCCCTACTATTAGGAAATGATTGGCTGCAGAGACTTGAGTGCCACTTCTGGATCCACTTATTGACTGATGTTTAGTAGCAGCATCTTTTATTTGAACTTCCTGGTTGCAGATTGTCTCATCTTTTCTTCCCCTACCTTTTTGTGTTGTCCTAGTAGTCTGTTGCCCAGATCTCCTGTTGCTTGGATCTGTTTTGTTTTAAATAGCAGCTTAAAATTTGTATTGTTGCTGGAGTTGTCAGTGTCTCTTCTTAATGCCCAGTGAGTAGTAATAAAACTGACTAGCGTCTGTATACCCATCGCTTGCAAAAGCTACTGGCAACAGGAGGAATGGGGCAGACTTTCTGCAGAGTGCATCACTTGACATTTGCCCCATGCTTCAGAAGGCTTTTTTATTTTTCTTACATATTTTCAAATGAAATGTCATGCTACAGATCTTGTGGGACACTGGTATCATTTGAACACCTGGTATGCTATTCGTCAGTATGGTGACTCAAGATCAGGATCATTGGGTTTTCTGTGGAAGACTAGTGTAGCTGAACAGACCTTTTCCTTAAGAGTTTCTAATCATCATTCTAATCAGGAAAATAGGACTGGAAGTGACCTCAGGCTGTTACCTAATCCAACCCCCTGCTCAAAGTAGGATTATATCTGTCTAAACAATTCCAGACACATTTATTAAGGCTGTGTGAAACTTCGCCGGCCATTTCGTTCTAACATTGTTTTGACCAATTTCGAGGTCGAAACAGCAAAATTGGAATGAAACAAAGGCCATCAAAATAGCCTCAAAACACAATTAGGCTGGCTGAAACGTTTCGAAAGTTGAAATGTTTTGACCATAGCCTGGGGATGGGAAGTCAGTTCAGCAGGGCTGACTTCCCATCTCCAGAGCAAGATCCCGCAGGGGGCAGCCCAGCTGTCCCCCATGCTAGATCGCGCTGGGGGTGGGAGGCAGCCCAACTGGGCTGCTTCCTGGTCCCCTGCACGGGCAGGAGGTAGCCTAGTTGAGCTGCCTCCCACCCCCAGCACAATGTACAGCTGGGGATGGAAAGTTAGCCAAGCTGGGCTGACTTCCCATCCCCAGCAAAACTCAAAACAGTGTTGAAACAGCCTTTCTGTCATCTCTCGAGTAGTTAAACAGGGAATAGATTACTTAAAGTTCTGCCTGATATCCAACCTAAATTTCCTTTGTTGGCATTTTGAGCCAGTTTCTTTCCCAGCCACCTGTGGCTACAGAATAATTTGTCACGATCCTCTATAACCAGCCTTCATGTGGAAGACTTATTAAATCCCCCTTGCTATTCTGTTCAGATTTAATCTTCTAAATTTGTGTTACCTTCTGCTGAATACTTTTTAATTTGCCCACACCTTTTTGAAGTGCAGAGCCCAAAACAAACAAAAAATGTCAGGTTTCACCTGCTGAATAGAATGGACGAGTCACTTCCCCTGATTTGCAAGTGACCATCTTGGTAATTTAACCCAATATGGTATTGATGTTTTTGCAACAAGAACATTCTATAACCATTGGGTCCTTTTTTGAAGTATTGCAGCCTAGCTAGCCACTCTGTAATCTGTACTTATGCATGTGATTTATTCCATCCTTAGATCAAGACTTTTAACTTGTCCTCTTTGGATCACTCTTTTCAGTTTCCCAAGGTAATATCTGAATCTTAATCCTGTCATCCAGAGTGTCTGCAACTCTACTGAGCTTCATGTCATTGATGGATTTGCTAACTAAGTGCTTAGTCCCATCCCCAAACCCATAACAGATCCCTGGAGAATCCTATTTAATACCTCCTCCCATTTAGAAATTAGGCTGTTGATGATTACGCTTGAGCACTATATCTAACCAGTTGTCTATTTACCTTGCAGTACTTCTGTCTACACTGTATTTCCTTAGCTGCATAATGAGAATTATGTTGATATCCTTAAGCTGCGGATATTGCATCTACTGCTATCTTACTATCCATGAAGCCTTGCACTTCGTTATAGGAGGAAATCAGGTTTCATAGTTTCTAGGGTCGGAAGGGACCTGAGTAGATCATCTAGTCCGACCCCCTGCCATGGCAGGAAGAGCACTGGAGTCAAATGACCCCAGTAAGGTGGTCATCCAGCCTCCTCTTAAAAACCCCCAGGGTGGGAGCCTGCACCACCTCACTTGGAAGCTGGTTCCAGACTCTAGCCACCCTGACCGTGAAGTAGCGCCTCCTGATGTCCAACTTAAACCTTCCCTCCGCCAGCTTGTGACCATTGTTCCTGGTCACTCCTTGCGGCGCTCGGGGGAACAGGGACTCCCCCAGCGCCTGCTGATCCCCCCTAACCAGTTTATAACAGGCCACAAGATCCCCCCTCAGCCTTCTCTTTTGAAGGCTGAACAGGTTCAGGTCCCGCAACCTTTCCTCATAGGACCTACCCTGCTGTCCCTTGATCATACGAGTGGCCCTCCTCTGGACCCTCTCCATGCTGTCCACATCCCTCTTAAAGTGCGGTGCCCAGAACTGGACGCAGTACTCCAGCTGCGGCCTGACCAGTGCCACATAGAGGGGGAGGATCACCTCCTTGGACCTGCTCGAGATGCATCTGTGGATGCACGACAAGGTGCAGTTGGCCTTCCTAGCCGCCTCCCCACATTGCCGACTCATGTTCATCTTGGAGTCAATAATGACTCCCAGATCCTTTTCCACCTCCGTGCTGACAAGAGGGGAGTTCCCCAGCCTGTATGTATGGTGCCGATTGTTCCTCCCCAGGTGCATCACCTTACACTTGTCTGTGTTAAACCCCATCCTGTTCTCCTCCGCCCATCCTTGTAACCTATCTAGGTCTAACTGTAGCCTGTAGCTCCCCTCAACTGTGCCCACTTCCCCCCACATCTTAGTGTCATCAGCAAACTTGAACAGGGTGCTTTGTACCCCCTCGTCCAAATCACTGATGAAGATATTGAACAGTGCAGGCCCAAGGACCGAGCCCTGTGGGACCCCACTTCCCCACAGGTTAATCAAATAAGACTTGGTTTTGGCAAATCCATGTTGACCATTTCTAATTACCATGTTCTACTCTGGTGCTTAGAAACAGATTACATGATGACCTGCTCCATAATCTTTGAGTGCTGAAGTGAGACTGACCAGTCTGTAATTCCCTAGATCCTCCTTCTTCCTTGCTTAGAGGTGGGCATGCTTTTTATCCTCTTCCAGTTAGTTGTCTGGGATCTCGCCCAACCTCCATGAGTTATAGCCCATGGCTTTGCAATTTTGTCAGCTCATTCTTTACCTATTGAGGATGAATTTCATCTAGCCTTGCTGACTTCACATCCAGCTTGTCTAGTGAATGTTTTGATTTTAAAGATAGGAAATAGTGTTCTGTTACTGTTCCTCCTCTGACATAAATCAATACTGACTAGTAATTCTGTCAGTTTGACTCAGAGAGGAGCGGGGAGAAAGAAGAAAAACAAATTAAATGAGTTCCTGATGTAATATTACGAGGGCTGTTACTAAGCATTTCACTTAATTTGATATTAACACTAATATGTACCAGTTGGTCAGATAAAGAAAATTGTTTGGCTTTCTTATTTAAAAACAAAAAAACAAACAAAATACCCCAAACCCCTAAAAATGATAAGCTAAGCGATGATGAATGCCCTTCAGTGGTACAAGTATGGAAGTGTGAACCAGTGAAGCAGAAAAAAGTATTTCAGCCTGCAACTGACCCTTTGTTTCAGCAATGGGTTTGCAGGCAGTAATCGACTTATAGAATTTTTTTAATGTAGGTCTTTAATTTTCAAATTCATGGCCCATTAGAAAAGCAAATCTGTTTTTATAAAAATAAGTATGAAAGACAATATATTAAAATATTTAATAGTATTTATTAAATACCATTTACTCTGCCTTAAAAAATAGTCTATGCCATGTTTCAAATGTACTTTAAGAGTTTATAACCATATTCCTAACTCTCCTTTCATTACAGCTGCAATGCATTTACTGTTTGCAGCAGCAATTGGCAGTGATGCTATCTGAGGTCAGAATATGGATATAAATATTTTAGTCGAATTTAAAAAAAAAAACAAAAAAACAAGCCTTACAAAATATCCTTATTTACGGCTTTTAGTTGGGCTTTGAACTATTTTCTTAATGTTTATTGAATCTTGTATAAAAAATCTTGTTTAAGCATAAGTTTTCATGTTAAATGCTTTTTAATTTTTCTGTAAGGGAAAGAGTATAATTGGATAGTTATATGATGTTTCTAAATACTAAAACAGTTTAAACCTGTTTGTTTTTTTTTTGTTTTGTTTTGTTTTTTGTTTGCTTGTTTTTGTGGGGGAGGGTTTGTTTTTGGCTTTTAATTTAACTGGAAAGTGGACCTCATTGAACAGGTTGGGAAAATGGGCAGAATGAAATAGGATGCAGTTCAACAGAGACAAATGCAAAGTGCTGCACCTGGGCAAAACGAACCACCAACACACTTACAGGCTGGGGGATGACCTTCTCAGCAGAACAGCAACAGAAAGGGATCTTGGAGTCACAGCTGATGCCAAGATGAACATGAGTCATCAATATGAAGAAGTGATCAACAAGGCTAACTACACTTTATCGTGCATTAGCAGATGCATGAAGTACAGGTCCATGGAGGTGATGCTTCCCCTCTATGCAGCATAGGTCAGGCCGCAGTTGGAGTACTGCATCCAGTTTTGGGTGCCACGCTTCAAGAGGGATGCAGAGAATCTTGAAACGGTTCAGAGGAGGCCACTTGTATGGTCAGAGGCCTGCAGGGAAGACTCTACAAGGAGGGACTGCAAGACCTAGATCTCTTCAGCCTTTGCAAGGGAAGGCTGAGAGGTGATCTTGTGGTTACCTACAAATTCATTGGGGGAGGGCAGCAGGGAATATGGGGGAGGGCAGCAGGAGATGCTCTATTTACTAGGGCACCCCCTGGAGTAACTAGGAACAATGGCCAGAGATTGACGAAGAGCTGGTTTAGGTTGGCCGTTAGAAAGAACTTCTTCACAGTAAGTGTTGCCAGAATGTGGAATGGGCTTCCAAGGGAGGTGGTGCTCTTCCTACGTTGGGGGTCTTCAAGAGGAGACTGGGCAAGCACCCAGCGGTCTTTCCTGCCCAGGGCAGGGGGTCAGATTTGATGACCTACTGAGGTCCCTTCCAACCCTAACATCTATGAACTCAAGCCTTTGTTTTTACTTGTCTTTCAAATGTATCCCCCTCCCCCCGTTTCCAATTAGCAAAATCAAAATTGTCTTTTATAATGGATTTAATTCCAAATAAATTTCTCAGTTTCTGTAGTGGGAAGTTCTGCAGCAAATGTGTGTAATGGTGTGGTTGAATATGTATTAGAAGTTTCTCTTCTAGTAAAACAAATCTCTTTGGGAAAATTCTGGGCTGAAGCAGTACTGTGTTACGTATTTTGGGAAATTAGTCACATTTTGAGCTTGTTAATAAAGTCTCTGGACAAAACGGCAAGATGGTCTCTCCTGGGAGCCTTTGAAAATGAAATGTTGATAATGTACTTTCTGGCAATATGTGGGCCTGATTCTCTCCTGCTTTGGCTCCTGAGTTGTCTTTCCCAGAGTGCAGAGATAGTATCAAATGCTAGCATTCTGATTTCTGCCCACAAAGTGGTGGGTTTTTTTGTTTCTTTGTTTTTTGTTTCCTTTTTCTTTTTCCCTAAAGCTAGTAATGTATTACAAAGCACACTGAAGAGTCAGGTTCTGCAATTGCCTCCTATCAGTTACGCCCTCTGCTTTTAATGTGGCATCTGTCCAGAAAAAGAGTGGTTTCATTTGTTTCCTAAATACAAGTAGTTTGCCCCTGCAAATCCTTTCCAGATACACTGTATTAATGCTGTATTGTTGTGTTCCTCTTTTCCATAGAGGGAGTGAAGTGTATTTGTAATCAACTTTCATTAACCACAAGGATTGATGCTGAGCATCCTGAACTTAGGAGTTACGCAGAGAGTCGAGGATGGTGGAATGGAGATGCAGAATTTGATTTTGCCAAAGTGTTCTCTGTGGCAGAGGACCATGTAAAATGCTGCGCAGGCAAGGAGACCCTAGATAACCAAGATGGTAAGTGTCAGTGATCCCTTTCTTTGCATGTGGTCCTTGCTGTATGATTTCTGTTTTTCTCAACCAGACCTTTCATAGTTGTGTACATGTAGGGGAGTGCCTTTGCTCTGTTCCATAAATCATGTAAACATAATCCATAGCTGATTGGTAATCAAGAGATAATTGCACCTAGTTTCATTACAGATATATTAACAAAACCCACAAAGGCCTTAACCTTAACCCCTACTTTGCTTAAATTTTAGAATCACAAACTTCTGTTTAGATGTTTTATGCCACTCTATCCTGGTGCGTACACCCTTTGCATGTTTTATAAATGGCTGTTGTTTGCAACCCAGCCCCTGCCAGAGGCTGCACTTCCCAGTGATCAGCAGATATTGTGAAGGGAATATACAGGCAAAAGCAGGAGCTAAGACCCTGGGGGTGCTGCTTCTACTACAGCACACAGAATAAACTAAATGTGGGAGGCAGCAGGATCCTGGGGATGCCTCTTTTGCTGCCATGGCTGGAGTGTACTGGCAGCTTCCGGAGCGACTATGGGCCACGTCCATGGGCCAGATCCAACCTGTGGAAAAAAAACAAACAAACTGGGCTATAAATGGTTGACCTCTGTCTTAATGCATAGAAAAAAGTAAAAGCAAGATCATGCCTGCCATCTCCTACCTCAAAAACCTAACTTACCTTAGAATGTGTCAGGTCTTATCTTGTCTATGAGGATATTAACATCCCAGTAAGGCATTTGAGAGTGGGGAGAGAAACACTTGCTTGTTGTTTGTGGAACCAACCTATAGCTGAAAATTGTCGAAATAAATGTATCTTCAGGTACAACTGAAGAATGATTACATGCAGAGTAGAGCTTTGGTAGCATTTCAGCTGGCATAAAGGGGTTTGCAGTTGAGTCCAGAGCTTGCCAATCAAGATAGCTAGATCTGGCCCAAACTCCTTGGCTAGAGACAGATATTCAAAAAGCCAGAGCCTGAATTGATTCAGTCTTTGCAGGTTAGTCTAACCTGCCTAGATTGAACCAATTTGCAAGCCAACAGACATTCCCTCTGGACTGAGGAATGCCTTCAGTGGCTCAGTCCAGGAGCTGGGGAGGTGCTAGAGCAGCCCTTGGCTGCAGGAAAGCTGTGCTAGGAGGGCATGGCCAGCCACAGCAGTAGCCTGGAGTGAACTGGCCAGAGAGGGGGTTTAATTCCGCCTCCCTGTTCCACAGACCCGAGCCAGGGTCTGCCTGGTGCTCCCTCCTCACTGCCACAGTGGTGGGGGTGGGGGCATGGCCAGACACTGGTCAGCATCGACCCCTAAGGCAGAGGGGGCACAGAGGGGGTTTATTCCCCCTCCAGCCCCTCTGCCTCTAGGGGACTGCAGCCAGGTTCTGCCAGTCTAAACTGCCACCACTGATCGCTCCCTGCATGGGGTTAGCAGTGGAATAAGGCCCCTCCCTGCCCCCTCTGACAGATGCCAGAGGGAGAGCGAAATAACCCCCCTCACTGCCCCCTCACCTAAGGGGCACTGCTGGCCAGCCTCTGGCCATGCCCCCACACCTGCCACTGGAGTGGCAAGGGGGGAGCACCCATAACGGGAGCAACATCCCCTCTCATGGCTTCCTGGAGTGCAATCCTCTTCCTGGCGGGGGGTTTACACTGCAGGCAGGGGTGGGATGGAGTAGGGCAGGCAGATCTGCCACAGACTGCATGGGACGAGCAGCAGCACTGGGGCTCAAAAGGCACCATAGCCTCCCAAGTGCCCCACTAGTGCCACTCATCCCATGCAGTCTGTGGCTGCTCTGCTTGCCTGGCTCCCACTCCCATCTGCAGTGCTGTCCCCCTTCTGTGAAGAGGCTTGCACTCCCTGGACATTATGACAGGCTGCTGCCCCCATCAGGGTTGTTGCTCCCTCGCTGCTCCAGTGGCTGGAGCGGGGGTATGGTTAGAGGCCGGCCAGCAGGCATGCTTTGGAAAGGGGGCAGGGAGGGGGGTTCTTTCCCCCTCCCTCTAGTGTCTGGCAGAGGGGGCTTATCCCACTACTTGCCCCACGCAGTGAGTGATGGGCAGTGGTGGTCAGGGCGGGCAGACCCTGGCTGTGGTTCCCCAGGGGCATGATGGGGAATAAACCCCCTCCCTGCCTCTGCCTCAGGCGGCCATACTGGCTGGCATCTTGTTGTTCCCCTGGCCCTGCTGCTGCAGAAGCTAGGGGGGAGTGCCAGGCAGACCCTGGCCAGTTCACTCCATACTACTGCTGGGGCTGGCCATGCCCCCTGCTGCTGGAGCAGCTAGAGGAGAAATATCTGGAGGGTCTGTGCTGGAAATGGAAATTAGAGAATACTTTTAACTGCACCAAAATGCTAGTAAAAAAAATTGTGGTGCTCTGTAACAGCATCATATTCCTCTACAGTCTTACAGCTGTAGATATTTCTTTGTAATAACTGGCAGTTTAAGTTGGATATGATTTTTTTTTTCTCCTTCTTAAATTACAAGTGGGGGGGGGGATGAGCCTTAGCTTGGTTTAAGACTGCTTGCACTTTACAGGGCATTCACTTCATGCTCTTTTTGTAACTACTGTTTCATTGAGTTCATTTGTCTAGGATTGTTGAAATAAGGAAATCCCTTGAGCAGGGGGTTGACCTAAATGACCTCCTGAAGGTCCTTTCCAGCCTACTTCTCCCCCTGCCACCCCTGTGATTCAAAACTCTCATATGGGTGAGGGGCCTAGATAGTGGGTGTCTGGTTCCCCAGATCTGGTTCTCCCCTAGCCACTCAGTTGTCGGGAACAAAAATTGTGGCAGGTGGCCTTCCCAACCACCATTTTGTTGTCAGTGCATGTCCTAGGTATGCGTACAGTTGTCTACATATGCATGGCTATGTACCCAGAAATAAAATTCCTACTTGCCTGTAAGTGCCAAAAATGCAGTGTAGATGACCAGATGCTTAAATACCAAAACTGGACTAGAACATCACCCCAGACCATTTGAAAACAAATGGAACACCAGTCACTATTATTCCTACTCTGTCCATTGTAAGATGGATGCATGTTGGGGGGTAACAGACAGTGGAGAAAGTCAACTGTATCCTGAATAGAGGTGCACCGATACATTGGTTCATATTGTATTGGCACCCATAAAAAGCAAAACTGACATTATCAGCTTTTTTTAGCTGATGTGGTCGATAACGTTGCTGATTAAATGGTGCATGCATGTGCACAGCTCAGCAGCTTGGAAAGCAGCATCCGGCTGATAAGTCTGTGGAGGGAGAAGGGGCAGGGGGAGAGAAGGGGTATGTGTAGAGAGGGGGAGTTGATTGAGGCCCCAGCAATGAGGGAGGGAGTAGGGCTTGGGGTTGGGGCACGGGGACAGTTGCGGGGGGGGGGGGGGGGG